TAACTTGCTGAGATGCTGCATCCCAGTTTTGTATGGAAGCTTCAGGTCTGTGTTGATCAGGCGTCACTTTTTCCCCTCTAGCTGTCTCCCAGGATCCCTGCCCAAGATCTTTGCAGAGGGGGAGTCCATGTATTTGAGCCTGGAGAAATTTACTAGTCTGTCATCTATTTAGTAGATATTTGCTGACTATCAGTCACTGTGCTTAGGTAACTAGACATGGAAAGATGAATATACTGCTCCTGCCTTTACAAAGAGTTCTAAACCAGCAGGATATCAAATATGAAATTCATCCTGTATTTTCTTTATTGCAAATTGCTTGCTTCTCCATATTTTAATTTTTCTAAAGTCAGGAATTTCTTACCATTATGTATATTTATGCAGTGAACCCTCTTTTAAGCAAATACTCATTTTCTCCTTTTGACCCTAGACAGCTAGTGCTAAGATTATAGCATACATGAGAATCACATGGGATATTCACTGGATATGCACTGGACATATTGGTGGTACCTGGAAAGGTCTGGGATCAGAATGTGTGTATGTGTGTGGGTAGGGTGTTGTGCAAGTTCATCAGGCTTCTAGGTAATTCTGCTGCAGGTGGTCTGTGCTGGACCATACTTTTAGAAACTGCTACAGACAAATAATAAGTTTGAAACCTGCGCATTAGAATCACCTGAAGATCTTTTAAAATAACTAATTCTTAGCTAAACACCAGATCAATTAAACTAGAGCCTCTGGATACCTGGCAGCAGTATTTTTGATAGCTCTCCAGGTGATACCCAAACGTCTTCAGGTTTGAGACCCACAGCTATAGAAGGTTGAGGAGAAGCAGTGCTTCTGAAACTTCCATGGGTGTATGAATCACCTGGGTTCTTATTAAAATGCAGACTCTGATTCAGCAGGTCTGGGGAGAAGGCCTGGGATTCTACATTTCTGAAGGCTCCCAGGGAAGGCTGATGCATGCTGGGGCACATATTTTGAGAAGCATGGGAAGACATAGAGCCAATCCAGAGTTTTCAAGATAATGACAGTTATCTGTATAGAGATGCTTTCTTTTGTCTATAAGAGCACCCTCTCTAATAAGCACCAAATTCAAGTCCATGGAGTGGACCAGTTGCATCAGGATTATTCACGACCCTAGCACAGATAAAGATACAGATTGTTGGGCTCACCACTGGAGTTTCTATCACCAATAATCATATTAGTTGCACTATGTATGTACTGGACTTTTCATGTTTAGTATTGCTAATTTAATTCTCACTACAGCTCTATGAAATAAGTAATATATTATTTCCTCCATCATGGAGGAATATATTATTTCCTCTATGTATGTATGAATCACCTGGGTTCTTATTAAAATGCAGACTCTGATTCAGCAGGTCTGGGGAGAAGGCCTGGGATTCTGCATTTCTGAAGGCTCCCAGGGAAGGCTGACGCATTCATGCTGCTGGGGCATGTACCGCATTTTGAGGAGCTTGGGAAGACATAGAGCCAATCTGGAGTTTTCAAGATAATGACAGATAGTCCAGAGATGTTTTCTTTTGTTTTTAAGAGCACCCTCTCTAATACACCCAAAATTCAAGTCCATGGAGTAGACCAGCTGCATCAATATGGAGGAATATAATATATTCCTCCATGATTAAATTGTGGCTTGGAGGGTTGAGTACTTTGCCCTAGGCCTGATTTAGTAAGAGGCTACTCAGCATACTAAGCTCTATTTTTAAAAGAGCCCTAGATACTGAGCCCTTATCTCTGTGGAAAAAGAAATCTCAAATAAAGGTATTTCCTAAAAGGATGACCATAGCTGTGGACCTGTTTGTATTAAATTAAATATGAATCTGTCTATTTGCATTTAAGACACAAACATGCATTTAGACAGAAAATGCTTCAATTTTTAGGAATAAGAAAATTACATATAATAGAAAAGGTGGCAAATATTTTAAAGAGTGTCTTTGAAATAATACAGTAGTTATCTGATAGGACTGTAGCAAAATTCATTTTCACAAGACTGAGCAGATAAAAACTACTTAATTGTCCTTCAAAAGAAAATAGAAAAAAGTTTGGTACATCAATACAATGGAATGCCATTCAGCCATTACTCACAATGGTTGTAGAACATTACTGGCATGGAAGGCAGTTCACAATACAATAAGAGATACAAAACAATATTTAGGCCGGGCGCAGTGGTTCATGCCTATGATCCCAGCACACTAGGAGGCCAAGGCCTGTGGATCGCTTGAGGCCAGGAGATTTAGACCAGCCTGGCCAACATGGTGAAACCCCGTCTTTACTGAAAAATACTAAACATTAGCTGGGCATGGTAGTGCATGCATGTTTGTAGTCTCAGGTACTGCAGAGGCTGAGGCACGCGAATCGCTTGAATCACTTGAGGTGGAGGTTGTAGTGAACCGAGATTGTGCCACCGCACTCCATCCAGCCTGGGTAACAGAGTGAGACTCTGTCTCAAAACAACAACAAAGACAGTATTTATAGCATGATCCAATGTTTGTTTCAAAGTCCTAGTAATTAAAATACATTTATGCAAATAATAAGTTTATGGGCAGTTATACACCAAGATGTTAGTTCTCTCAGGATGGTGGGGTTATGGATATTTCTTCTGAATATTGGTTAAGCACCTACTTTGTGGCTGATACTATACCAAGCATTGTGAGAAATAAATGGCAGTGTTTAGGCTGATTCCATCCTTATAGAACTAACTGGATCTAGATTTAACAAAAATGTATCAGCTGTGTTTTCATTTAATCCATACTATGCTTATAAAGGAAACCTATGGGTCAATTTATGGTTCTCTACCAGCCACTTTCCTCCCTCACCCCTACCCACTCTATATCCCTCCTTTCTTTCTTCCACTCATTTATCCATCCGTCTACCTTTTTATCATTCAAAAAACATTCACCAAGCGTCTGCTCTGTATTTATGAACTGATCATGGAGAGATGAAAAAGATACTCTCAGCTCTGCAGATGCTGCTCTTTGTCTTCGTTTTTTTGAAATAAATTTTATTTGGGGATAATTTTAGATTTATAGAAGATAGTGGCAAAGACAGTACAGAGAATTCCCATATGCCTTCACCCAGTGTCAGTTTTCTCTAAGGTTGTCACATCATATCACCACGGTTCCTTTGTCAAAACTGAGAACCCAGCATTCGTACATTACTATTAACTCAATTCTAGACATTTCAGATTTTACCAGTTTTTCCTATAATATCCTCTTTCTCTTCAGGATCCAGTCCAGGATACTACTATATTGCAATTTGTTGTCATGTCTCCTCCTTAGTTTCCTCTGATCTGTAATTGTTTCTCACACTATTTTTTTTAATCACCTTGACATTTTTGAGGAGTACTGATTAGTCATTTTTATAGAATGTGCCTTAATTTGCATTTGTCTGATGTTTTCTTGTGATTAGACTGGGGTTATGGGTTTTTGGAAAGAATACCACTGAGTGAATTGCCCTTATCACCTGATATCTGTGTGACATCCTTGGTAATGTTAAACTGATTGCTTGGTTGAGGTAATATTTGCCAGTTTTCTCCACTGTAACGTCACTATTTTTTCTTTGTAAGTAAATCACTAATTGAGCTACCTTTTGGAAGGGGAAGGGTTAAATTTTGCTCCTGAAGAGGGCAGTATTTTTATATACTGTTTGAAAATTTTCTTTAAGGAAGATTTGTCCCTTCACATTTATTCCATTCTTTATTTATATCAGTGTGGACTCGTAGATATTCATTTTATACTTTGGGCTGTAATTCAACATCGTATTATTTATATTGTTGCATAAACTGTTCCAGCCTTGGCCATTGAGAACTCTTTCAGTTGGTGCCTGTATCCCCTTGGCATGCCCCAGACCATTTGTTTTTTGAATGTCTCCTTATTTCCTGGCACTATAAGATGCTCCAAGCTTCTCTTGTATTTTTCCTGCCTGAGCCCTAGAATTAACCATGTGAGAATGGTATTTCAAAGTCAGTATCTGGGTGCTGGATGCTTATTGTCTTTGAAAGGAAGGAAACAGAAGAGTGAAAAATATTCTACATAATGTTCAAAGCGTTATGGAAGCAGCAAAGCTAGGCCGACGACTTCTTTCAGGGGAAGTCTTCACTAAAGAGGTGGTATTTTAAATTGAGTAGGGTGTTCCAGATGAAGATCAGGATTGGAGTGGGATGGGAAAGGGGAGGAGGAAATACATGTTAGCAAAATCAAGGGTAACTGGCTGTTTAACTTGATCTGACTATGTACTTACATTGGTAGTGGCCCTTCTTTGATTTTCTCATTGCGTAAAAATGAGGCATTTTCACAGATTATATTTTTTTTCTACAAGAGGATCTCTATGCAAGCCCTGTTGACTGCCCTCCTTCATTTCCCATCTTCCTTCCAGTCTTTCTTCCTTCTAAATGTACTTAGCTCCTACTTTCTGCCAGGCCCCAATGCAAGGCACAGGGTGTGCAGACAAGAATTTGATAGCCCCTACCATCAGGAAGTTCTATATCCAGAGTGAATCCTGTGGCTTTCTTCTTCTCCCCTTAGCCCTTTTCAGGTGTCTAATTTTTAAGGCTTTGCAGAAAGCATAAAAAAGCAAATAGGAGCCGGGCGCGGTGGCTCAAGCCTGTAATCCCAGCACTTTGGGAGGCCGAGGCGGGTGGATCACGAGGTCAAGAGATCGAGACCATCCTGGTCAACATGGTGAAACCCCGTC